CACTTGTGCGAGCAAAGCCATCCCGCCAGGTGCACCCGTGCGAGCAAAGCCATCCCGCCAGGTTCACTTGTGTGAGCAAAGGCCATCCCGCAAGGTGCACCTGTGTGAGCAAAGGCCATCGCGCAAGGTGCACCTGTGTGAGCAAAGGCCATCGCGCAAGGTGCACCTGTGTGAGCAAAGGCCATCGCGCAAGGTGCACCTGTGTGAGCAAAGGCCATCGCGCAAGGTGCACCTGTGTGAGCAAAGGCCATCGCGCAAGGTGCACCTGTGTGAGCAAAGGCCATCGCGCAAGGTGCACCTGTGTGAGCAAAGGCCATCGCGCAAGGTGCACCTGTGTGAGCAAAGGCCATCGCGCAAGGTGCACCTGTGTGAGCAAAGGCCATCCCGCAAGGTGCACTTGTGTGAGCAAAGCCATCCCGCAAGGTGCATTTGTGTGAGCAAAGCCATCCCGCCAGGTGCACTTGTGTGAGCAAAAAGCACACACTCGACCTCAGTTGCTGGCATCTCCAATCTGTTCTACTGTTCTTTATTCTAGTCTCCGTTTCGCGCCGAATTTAAGATACTGTGTTTTAAATTTCTGGACATATTCTAACTTCTAATGTTTATATAGTAACTGGGGTGCATTTTATGAAATTTTCAGATTTTTGTTCTTGTAGCAAAGTGATCCATTCATTTTAATTAGACTTAATCACTGCTGGGAAGGGGCAAGGTGGACCACAAATAATTAAACATCATTCAGACCCTTCCCATCCTTCAAGGCCCAATTTTGAAATGAACTCTAATCTATCATCAAAAAGTTCTTTATAAAAAAAGAAAAGCTGAACACCCCAGTAATTTCTGTTAGCCAAAAGCCATTAACAGCTAATTTACGAAAGAGACAAATATCCAATAAACAGTAAAAATAATCTTCAGCCTTAATAAAATACAAATAAAAGCACTTTTTAAGCTGTAAATTTTAAATGCAGAAACGAGAGGAACTTTTCTCTGAACATCAAGTTCTACATGTTAACTTTTGTGATTGTTACCTTTAATAAGCTATGTCATAAAATTCAGTATGGACATATATAGAGTGCTGTTGTTAGGGGCAGAAATAAAATATTGGAGCTGCCTATTATCATGGAAAGATTAACAACCTTGTTGTAGAAACCAGAGGCTCAGCCCTTTGAAAATCCTGTCTTTTGCATACCCCCAGGCCTTTGCAAACCCCAGCCCAAATTACCTGTAACTACCCATTTTGTATATCCATTCTTATCCCTTTTACCTACTTTCCCATGTAATCTTTGTCTTTCTACCCAATATAAGCAGATGGCTTAGGGTGGGAGGCAGAGCAGACATTCCTGAATGACCTGCTGCGCTCATCTATGATTCAGTCCTGTCTCTGCTGAATTGGCTCAAGTAGTGACAGGAAGTCCAGACCCATTGCTTGTCTGTGTTATGCCCAGATTTCAGGATCCCCAAGAAACCACATCAGGGAGCCAGCCAGTCCGATGCAAAAGCATAAGAGTCTTTATTCGAGCTAGCTCGGCTCCCCCACCTTGCCGACGCAGCGACAGGAAGCAGAGAGCGATAACTCTGTATGGAGACGGGTTTTATGGGGGGGGGGTTGGAGTAAGGGGAGGAGAAAGGACTGTGCTCTGCCGATTGGCCAGGAGCAAGTCGGTGTCTTGTTCCTGGGTGTGGCTAGCAGAGGCTTAGACTTCCGGGAAGAAGCTTTGTTCTTGTAGCAAAGTGATCCATTCATTTTAATTAGACTTAATCACTGCTGGGAAGGGGCAAGGTGGACCACAAATAATTAAACATCATTCAGACCCTTCCCATCCTTCAAGGCCCAATTTTGAAATGAACTCTAATCTATCATCAAAAAGTTCTTTATAAAAAAAGAAAAGCTGAACACCCCAGTAATTTCTGTTAGCCAAAAGCCATTAACAGCTAATTTACGAAAGAGACAAATATCCAATAAACAGTAAAAATAATCTTCAGCCTTAATAAAATACAAATAAAAGCACTTTTTAAGCTGTAAATTTTAAATGCAGAAACGAGAGGAACTTTTCTCTGAACATCAAGTTCTACATGTTAACTTTTGTGATTGTTACCTTTAATAAGCTATGTCATAAAATTCAGTATGGACATATATAGAGTGCTGTTGTTAGGGGCAGAAATAAAATATTGGAGCTGCCTATTATCATGGAAAGATTGACAACCTTGTTGTAGAAACCAGAGGCTCAGCCCTTTGAAAATCCTGTCTTTTGCATACCCCCAGGCCTTTGCAAACCCCAGCCCAAATTACCTGTAACTACCCATTTTGTATATCCATTCTTATCCCTTTTACCTACTTTCCCATGTAATCTTTGTCTTTCTACCCAATATAAGCAGATGGCTTAGGGTGGGAGGCAGAGCAGACATTCCTGAATGACCTGCTGCGCTCATCTATGATTCAGTCCTGTCTCTGCTGAATTGGCTCAAGTAGTGACAGGAAGTCCAGACCCATTGCTTGTCTGTGTTATGCCCAGATTTCAGGATCCCCAAGAAACCACATCAGGGAGCCAGCCAGTCCGATGCAAAAGCATAAGAGTCTTTATTCGAGCTAGCTCGGCTCCCCCACCTTGCCGACGCAGCGACAGGAAGCAGAGAGAGAGAGAACTAACTCTGTGTGGAGACGGGTTTTATAGGGGGGGGGTTGGAGTAAGGGGAGGAGAAAGGACTGTGCTCTGCCGATTGGCCAGGAGCAAGTCGGTGTCTTGTTCCTGGGTGTGGCTAGCAGAGGCTTAGACTTCCGGGAAGAAGCTCCTTGCCAAGCACGTGGCCAAGGTAAGATGGAGGGCTTAGCCCTTACCCTGGGGCAAGATGGAGGGCGTAGCCCTCGCCCTTTCAGTCTGGTTACACTGTTTTTCTTATTTTAAGTCTGTATTGTAAAAATCTTGTAATATTTTTATTGGAAGTGGTGCTTCTATATCAGCATCACCAAAGGAACTTGCAACCCCTTTATTATTATTGTAGTTGTTACTCCTAAAGCCACCTCCCGGGCAATAGTTTATCATTCATATCACACAATTTCCAATTGAAGACCTGGTTGGAGCTCTAAGACTCATAGCAATGAGTCTGTTTATTATTTCTGCAGTCGGTGAAGATGCGCTGCCCTGGGTGATTTATCAATGAAATGTCGATTTGCAGATGTGTGCTTGTTCCTTTGGTGTTTTGTGCTTTCTTATCTGCAGAAGGGAATCCCTTGGGTCTAGACGTGGCTGTGGAGCGTGGGGAGCTTCTGGAGCACTGGAGTTCTAGGGTTCGTTTCCTTAAGGAGCTTCTTTGGAACCTTCTTACTTTCTGTTGAGAGACACACTTTAGAAACAGGTTCATTGTGACTGCAGGCCATCATTTGTAGGGCTGCTTTACTTTGTTTTTTTCCTTAAGTGTTAGAATGAGTTGACTATCCAACTGAACTTTTTTTAAAATATATTTTTATTGATTTCAGAGAGGAAGGGAAAGGGAGAGAGACATCGATGATGAGAGAGAATCACTGATTGGCTGCTTCCTGCACGCCCCACACTGGGGATCGAGCCTGCAATCCAGGCATGTGCCCTGGACTGGAATCGAATTAGGGACTCTTCAGTCCACAGGCCGACGCTCTATCCACTGAGCCAAACTGGCTAGGGCCCAACTGAACTTTCAACAAACCTCTACCATAGGACAGTTCTTGGAAGCCAAAATCTAGATTGTGATGTGGCATAAACTCTGGGTCTTTTTAATTTCTTTCTCTATCAGTGAATAACAAAACACAATTATGCCCCATTCCCTTTCTCTTCTCCTGGGACCCCTCCCTTCAATAGTGCATACATTGGTTCACTAGATCCTGTTTTCTAAGTCCTTTAAGCTATCCTTACTCTTCATTCTTTTTTCTTCTTGCTCCTCTGATTGGATGAATTCTATTGCCATGCCCTTGAGTTTGCTGATCCATCTTTCCATTTAATTTAGTCTGCTATTGCCCCCTCTGTTGAATTTTCCAGTTTAGTTACAGGCAGTCCTTGAGTTACGTCGGACTCGACGTACGTTGTTTCGTGGTTATGTCGCCATCTCCCATTTACAATATTTATTTTTTTTAAAAATCCGTCATTTTACGTATGTAATGTATGTACTTTATGTTTTTTATTATTTATTTACCACAAGTAAAGGTCAGGAATTATCTTTAATTTTTTTTTTATTGTTTCACTTCATTCCTGCTGTGTATGTGCTCCACGTGAGTGATGTAGGTGCTTATGTAGGTGGGTGCCACTTACAGCGAAAATCATGTTACGTAGGAACGGATCTCCGACGTAACCCAAGGACCTATTGTATTGTATTGTTCTGTTAATCTCTGTTTCTGTTTGGTACTTTTTAATATTTTCAATCTGTTGGAATTCTTATTTTGTTCATGCATTGCTCTCCTGATCTCAGTGACCATCTTTTTTATTTTGTTAATCCTCACTAGAGGATATTTTTTCCATTGATTTTCAGAGAGTGGACGAGAGGGGAGAGAGAGAAACATGGATTGGTTGCCTTCCACATGCACTCCGACAGGGTGGAGAATGAGCCTGCAACCCGGGTTTGGCCCTTGATCAGGAATCAAACCCGAGACCCTTCAGTGCTCGGGCCAACGGTCTACAACTGAACCATTCCAGCCAGGGCTCAGTGACCATCTTTATGATAGTTATTTTGAGCTCTCTACTGGGTAAATCACTTATCTCCAATCCATTACGATCTGTTCCTGGAAATTTATCTTGTCCTTTTGTTTGGAAAATAGTCCCTTATTTCTTCATTTTCCTTCACTCGCTGTGTTGGTTTCTGTGCTTAGATAAAACAGTCATCTCTTCCAGGCGAGAGACTGGTCTCTTGTAGGAGATGAACCTTGTCAATCAGCTCAGCCCAAATAGCTGGTTGCCTCTCAAACTTTATGATTGTCCAAGCCACCATCTTTGTTCTTAGACTTAGAGGCTCCCAGTAGTTGAGTGTGTACCAAGATCTATCAGTGTCCCAAAGGGGAGGATCCTGTTACCAGACCAAACCAGGTCCAGTTAGTTACTCAGTAGCTGCCAGCCAAAAGACAACTCAGAGATGATTTTATGAGAAGAAACTTTATTCCAAGCCAGCAAGCAAGAACACACCGAGGGCCAGTCCCAAAGCAGTGCGTCCTGAACAAAGGATTGGATTTGTCTTTATTCAGGGGTATCATGCATAAACATTGTGAATTTTGTCATGTGCAGGTAGGGACATTCCTGCACACGTGCAGTTAGAAAACATGGCTATACATATATCGATGTTCAAAAATAGTGGAAAATCTCTGCCCGGGGAGATTTTGTGTTATAATGAGAAAATTCATGAGGACGTCACTAGAGGGTCCTCCAAGTAGCTTCTGCCAGCTTGGGGCAGATTCAGCCAGATCAACCCCCTGGTCCTGCAGAACATTCTGGGTTTGTTCCTGAAAAACAGCTCTTGCAATCATCAATGTCGGGGAGGGGCACAGTATGGAAGGAAGTTTAACTACTTAAGTTTCAGCCTTTCTGTTAAACTCAACAGATTATAGGACATGGTTACACTTTATAAAATCTAGAGCAATCTAAGTGGATTTACAGGTTAATCTGACAAAGTTATGAATTCTAAATAAAAGTTAATCTATGCTAGGCCACCTGCTAGGCTGTGTGTATAGGTTAGATGACAATCCCCGTCAGCTTCCACATGCAGGCTGATTAGGAGCTGGCCCCTCAGGTCGATGTGAGAGGATGCAGTCAAATCCCTTGCAGGGAGGAACTGAGAGAGGTTTGTGTTCTTTTTTTGCTTGCTCTCCTGCACACCTGTAAAGAACTGCTTCTTTGTTTGAAATAGTCCCGGGGGACTTGTGAAGGCAAGCCCTGCTCTGTATTAGAGCTGGGTGATCCAGGGGCCGACCCGCAGGCAGGAGCCACAAAAGCTGACGCACCAGCTCCCTCCAGAGATGTGCTGGCAACTTGGTTTGATCATTGGAGTGAGCTGGAGGGAGAAGGTGGGGACAGGGCCCACCGGCTGCCCCCAGCTCCAGGGAGGATTGCAGTCAGTACTTGGATGTGTGCTAATGAGAAGCCGGCCCCTCGGGCAGCAGTTTGTACTCCAAGCTCTTCCAGGAAAATTCTGGGAGATGGACATGTTTGTCTGCTCCTCTGTGCTGTGCCCTGGGTGACAGCAACAGCAAGTACCCATGCACTCATGAAGAACTGCTGCTTTGTTTCCTACAGTCCTGTGGGTCTCATGGATGCAAGCCCCACGGACTTGCAGAGCTAGGTGTTTTGGGGGCCCCATCCCTCAGGTGAGAGCCTTAAAAGTAGATGCGAGATATGGGGACCCTAGGTTCTCCTCAAGGACAAGCTGGTAATTGGGGGTTTCCTTCTGGTTGTATGGTGTCTTGCCAGGATTGGGGTTTATGGTGAGAGTGTGTCTCAGACTTACCTACTTGGTTCTCCCTTGGTGTAACAACTTTTTTATTTTATTTGTATTTTTACTGATTTCAGAGAGGAAGGGAGAGAGAGAGATAGAAACATCAATAATGAGAATCATCGATTGGCTGCCTCCTGTACGCCTCCTGCTGGGGATTGAGCCCGCAACTCAAGCATGTGCCCTGACCGGGAATGGAACCATGACCTCCTGGTTCATAGGTTGGCGCTCAAACACAGAGCCACACTGGCTGGGCTTGGTATAACTACTTTTATATTAAGACTAAGGTATTATTCTCCTTTTCACTCTGATCCTCTCCTGAGTGTACAGTGGGGTTTTTCAGAGGCTACATAATATGCGGTGATGTTATTACTAGGGCAGTAAATGGAACATGTGTTTATGTATTCTTGTGCTTTAATATTTCTGTTTTAATTCTGAATACGGTAAACATCAATAGATGTAATCTAGTTGATAAACAAAAGTTCTGGGGCTGCCAATAATTTTGAAAAATGTAAATAGCTCCTAAGACCCAAATGTATGAGAACTATTGTTTTAAACCACAAATTTTGAAAATGAGCTCTAAAGATCTCCATGTCTTTGATCACGAAAATACAAACAAGCCAATAAGCCAACAGAACCAAGATGGGGGTCTTAGCAATAAGATTTACTATGTCCTGATCTCTCAGGTCTGGAAATCTCCAGATCAAAGAAGCCAACAGAACCAAGATGGGGGCCTTAGCAATAAGATTTACTATGTCCTGATCTCTCAGGTCTGGAAATCTCCAGATCAAAGCCAAAATGAGCAGCAAGGACCGCAGCTGCTCACTGTTCAGGAGATCCAGTCTAATGCATCCTCTAAGCAGGGGTCAGCAAACGATGGTCCACGGGTTAAATATGGCCTGCTACCTGTTTTTATAAATAAAGTTTTATTGGATTCATTTATGTATTGGCTGCTTTCTCACCACAACAGCAGTTTAGTAGGTGTGACAGAGACCATATAGCCTGCAAATTGTAAAATGTTACTATCTAGCCTTTTCAGCCAGGGTTGGCTCCTCTGATCACTTGGACCTGGCTGAATCCACAGCAAGCCCTTCTCTCCCCTCCCTCACCAAGTTCTTGGAGCTCACAGGTAAAGAACAAGAACATAGCAATGCCATAAAACTGTGTCCAACAACTGGATGTTTTTAATGATGAGTCATTCTTAGTTTTTTGACAAACATTTCCTATTTAATAAGGAATAAATATAACAACAAAATAGTCATATAGTTAAAGTACATTTTAAAAAGCAAAATTATATTGTGTAAAATTCTATGTAGGAAAAGTACAATAACTGGACTTCAAATCTATAGCTACTAAAATTTTTACTTAGGTTCAAAACACAGCACCAAAAATACCCAGACATTTTAAAACTTCACTAAAAGGAAAAAATATTATAGAATGCATACTTGCAGAAAGCTACATAAAATCACTTTAAAATTACCTCAGGCTGCAAAAAGAAAAAACCTAAATGCTGTACCTAAATTATCCATGTCCCAAAATAACGCCATTTGTTAGCAATTCTTAAACTATAATGGTTATAAACCACAAGTACATCCATCAACAGAATGTCAAACTATTTTGACCAAGTCAGTGGCCAGATTGTTAAAAGGGCCATAATGAAAGCTGTGGGTCTTCACAGTGTTAGGTTCCTATCCACGGGACTACAGTTCCTATCCACGGGACTACAGTACAACAGACTTCCTGGAATCTTAGGACAGAAGGCGCATACGTGGCTGAATTACCAGGATTATATTGGAATGAGAGCTGCTCACGTCCCAGAAACAAGGGCTCACAAGAAGCATAATGAGATATAAATCCCAACAGATTGTTTGCTTACAAATGTATAAAATACAAAGTGTAAGCTATTCCTACATGTTTAAAGTGCTTCAGAATTCATGCTGTTTTGGTCATACTCTTCTACTTTCCCAAAGAGATTGTTTTCTCTCTTGTGGCTAAATGATACACAGAAGTTCGTACTAGAAGTGGTAAAATCAAAGAAAACTCTGTTCAATTTTTTAAAAGATTGTTTCTATGCCACCAGTTTCTGGATTCTTTGTAAGGAGTAGATTCACCTTGCGGGTTATATTCCAGACCCTTGTATACATTTCTAATCCATGCAATTTGGAATACGAGCTCACCCTTGTCACAACTTGGCATGCCCGCTGACTCATTCTGCCTCTTTGCTCTTCTTGGAACCAGCCCCTGCTGAATCTTCTGCCTCGGCCCTCCTCCCATCTCGGCCCTCCTCGGAGAATCTTCCACCACATTCGCGTGCTCTCATGCGAGCTCCTGGCTGGTACAGTGGCAAGGCCGGCCGGTCCTGCTAGGATAAAAGGGTGGGTTACTCTTCCAAGGGCTGGCAATGCAGGGGGGAACAACATCACTATTTCTAGGGACTGAAGATCTTAAATATCTAAAGACTATCAGTCTTACAGCTAAAAATCAGCCTTTTTTCACAGCACTCTCTCAGAAACCAAGCATTTCAAGGCAATAAAAAGCCATGAAAATACAGTTACTATGTTACTGCTCAAACCTACAACACTCTGTGGAAACAGTACACCATGGCACTCTCCTGCCAGTTAGAGAGATGACAAGTCAACACACACATCTCAGTCCCACAGAGTCGCCAAGCAGCGGACCCGAGTCTGAAACAAAATGAGTCACGGCCCCTCAGAGGGCTCTTAGAGTGCTAAACGAAACAGTTATTAACATTCATGTGGATTATTTCTGAACTGTCCCCTTCACAGAAAATACCCATCATCTTATTAAACTCTTAGAGGTGGTGGAATAAACACAAAGACTGAATAAAGTACACAAAATGCACTTAAATAGCTTCCAGGCACGAGGACAGTGAAATGAGGGAAGGACAGTGTGATTCTGAAGGCTGGGACCTATACTCCCAGGGGGAACAACTGCTCCTCAGGAAAGCCAGCGCTCCAAGAGAGGGAGGCAGCAACCCCATCCCAGCTCAGCGCTCCTTCCCTGCCTGTGTGTATGACAGAGCACCAGCAGCCCTAGCCTTTCCACGCCACCTGGAGTGCAAGGACAGTGCAACTCGCTCGGGTGGGCATGTCCCACTGGTGTTTTACCCACTCCTAGGCTGTGTGTGGAGACCGCACAGTCACCACCTGGATTTATCATAATATTCTTAATATAAGCCTGGCCAATGAGAAGAGTTGGAAAGGGTTCAACAGGACCCCTGTGTAGGCCAAGATGCAGGCTTGACAACCCACCATCTCCCACGCCAACAAGCTGGCTCTGTTCTTCACCAGGGTAACGTGTACAGAGTTTGAAACTGACCCTAAAAGCACATCATAACCTGCCAGGTCTGGTATGAAAGGAGCTATTACCCACAAAGCACTTTATCACTACTACCACACTGCAAACTTAATTGACAGGAGTCATCGAAAGTTCCCACACCTACAGCTGTGCAAATACCCAAATCACTCCATTGCAAAACAAGTGCTCACAGGAACAACCCCCATCAATGAGACTCATGGCTGTACTTGGTGAGTCGGGACACTCGTAAGTCAAGGCCCCACTGTATTACCCACAAAGCATTTTATCACCACTACCACACTGCAAACTTAATTGACAGGAGTCATCGCAAGTTCCCACACCTACAGCTGTGCAAATACCCAAATCACTCCATTGCAAAACAAGTGCTCACAGGAACAACCCCCATCAATGAGACTCCCCATGGCTGTACTTGGTGTACACAAGGTCAAGGCAGCTACAGGAACCCTTTGTGATACAGACTTGACCAGTCAAGGGTGAAGCTAGAAGGTTCTGGCTTTTCTGAAGATCTCCCTTGACTTTACTGGAAATACTTAGAAAATCAACATCGCTGAAACTTGGATGGATCAGACAGGAATCATGCTGAGTGAAAAAGCCAATCTCAAAAGGTTACATACTCTCTGTTTCCGTTTATATAGTGCTCCTGAAATCACAAAGTCATAGAGACAGAGAACGGAGTGGCTGCCAAGGGTCAGGAACGGCAGGAGGTGGGTGTGACCCGCAGCCTCAGACCCATCTGCTCACCTGGAGGGCAGGCTTTGGGGGACTGACAGCATCATGGGGCCTGGCCCTGGAAGGGAGATGAACCCATTTATAGCGCTTCTCCCTGACAATGCGATCTGAATGCAAATTAACCTCAAATTTCTGAAAGAAAACCTGTTTGTTGGGCTAAGTGGGCAATCTCAATCTGATTGTGCAGGTCTAACTTCTGGGTGTTTATGAGCCATCTGAGGACCGTGGAGTCCCGGTGGAAGCAGCAGAGAGACCGGGGAGAGAACAGAAGAGTGAGGACAGCCCGGCCCCCAGAAAGGAGAGAGTGCGAAACAAGGTTGTTTTCTTCATTTGGGATAATCCCTCATTCATCTGTCTGCGCTAAAAGTATGAGCTGTACTTTTGCAGGCTTATGACTGCTCTTCCAAACAGAAATGCTTTTATTTCACCTAAAAAAGGAAAATCTACACAGGTGCCTGAGGTTTAGGATCTCTGACTCTGGATCCTGCGTTATCTTAGACCAGTGGTTCTCAACCTTGGCTGCACATTAGAACCACCTGGGAATCTTTTTAAAATCCTGATTTCTGGGCCTCATCTTCCGGAAATTCTGTTTCTTTGTTACTAATAGTGTGGCCCCACCCCATAACAAAGAAACAGAATTTCCGGAGGATGGGGCCTAGAAATCAGGATTTTAAAAAGATTCCCAGGTGGTTCTAATGTGCAGCCAAGGTTGAGAACCACTGGTCTAAGATAACGCAGGATCCAGAGTCAGAGATCCTAAACCTCAGGCACCTGTGTAGATTTTCCTTTTTTAGGTGAAATAAAAGCATTTCTGTTTGGAAGAGCAGTCATAAGCCTGCAAAAGTACAGCTCATACTTTTAGCGCAGACAGATGAATGAGGGATTATCCCAAATGAAGAAAACAACCTTGTTTCGCACTCTCTCCTTTCTGGGGGCCGGGCTGTCCTCACTCTTCTGTTCTCTCCCCGGTCTCTCTGCTGCTTCCACCGGGACTCCACGGTCCTGGCTCCCCGTCTTCCCTCTGTCTGGGGTGAATCCTTTGCCCGGTTTCATCTCTTCTTCATTTCTTCTTGAAAACTTGTCAAACTCATAGTGAGCTCTAAGCTTTCTGCTATCATCCAAGTGGTATCTTTGTGTTTCAAGTTCTTTTTCTCGAAATTTTCTCTCCATATCCTTTTGCTCTTTATCACTGTCATTTTGTGACCTGTGGTTTAATACAAATGATCAGTAACCTTTCATAAACTGCTTGTTGATGACCTGTCTTCCCTTCCAGACTCCAAGTTCCAGAAAAGGCAAGGAACATGTAAGTCTGCCCATCACTTAATGCCAAATTTGCATGCACACACCACAGGCATTCAATAAAAACTATAAAAACTATGAATCAATTGTATTAACACTATTTCCTGTTATACTTGAGTAACACATATGTATTAAGTGATATGCTAAGGCACCAATTACACGTATTTTTAAAATTCTCAGTAAACCTCCAAAATAAATATATTTCCCCCTCATTGCAGATAAAATAAATGAGACTACATGTGGTCAGGTGACTCCCAGTATCCCAAATGCACATCCATCATGAGGCAGAGCTGATAGTGACAGCTTAGTTGCTGCTTCAACCATAGCTAAAACTACCTGAAATTTAATAACATTTGTGTATATGTCAAACTATTAAATGAACAGTAAGTAAACAAGTGGCTGGTTAGCTCATTTGGATCTTAAAGTCTTTCCCTCCACCAACCACTGGCAAACGTCCTTACATACCACCTGTGAACCCCTCATGTACAGAAGCGGCAGGACTGTTGGGGACAAAAAGATCTATAAGCAAAGCGTGAACTGGTGCCAGAAACATGACAAAAGGCAGTGCTGTGTCCTAAGCCAGCGGTCGCCAACCTTTTGGACCTCACGGACCACCAGTGATCTGCAGACCACCGGTTGACAGCTTCTTAAGAAACTGCGTTATGTCTGTAACATAAACCATAATTCTAACAGATCAGATTTGATATCATGTATAAATTAATTTTATATACAAACCAATAAACTAGAACCCACCAAAAAGAGGGAGAGAAAACTTTACATAACTCTATATGCAAGGAAGGCAGTCATAAATCGTTCAGATTACTGTGCTCCTGGGCAAATAGCAGCTTAATCCCATGACCTTGCCCATTGCACCTGAATCCACTTCCAGCCACTCCTGTGAGCGGAACAGCCCTTGCCTCCAGGAGGCTCTGCAGGTGTCCAAATGCAAGGCATGGGCAGGAACCCTGGGTCAGGGGGACAAGAAGCCCAGCTGCATGTGGCCCTACTGACTGGGACATGACCAAACCCAGGGTCAGGGGCAGGACGAAGGGCCTACCTCTGGACAAGCGAATGGCTGGTCTTTCTCTGGACCCTGCACAGACTGCTATGTCTGTCTTGTTCCCAGAGAAGCCCAGGTCCTTTTGTGAGCTCATGTCACGAGCAGGTAAAGACCTATGGGTCACAACACCAGCATCTACAGCTGTGTGTCAAAGTCCATGGGGCCAGAGGGACGACAACTCCCACAAAGGAACTACAGCACTTAGAATTCTATCTTTTTAGGACAGGAAGACTTTCAGCACCTGAAAGACCAAGTTCTCAAATTCATAATTCCATAGAGAATTGAAGGTCTGGAAGACCAAATGGGCATGATATCTCAGAAGACACAGGAAAATTACAAACTGATAAAAATCACAAGGAAAGGAGACGGGGAAGAAGATCCAGAAGACCTAAAGTGCAACAACAGAAACCCAGAGGAAATACAGAAGATATTTCTCTGGTTCAAAGATAGATTTGAGGCTACAGACTAAACGGATTTACCAAGTTCCTAGCATGACCAAAAAGAAACAAGAATGTGGACAAGCACTCAAGAATTCCAAGAATACTATGAAATCTGAGCACTCGTACTGACAAAGGATATATGGCCGTGATGGATGACCATCCCGTGATGCTGAACGTGGCCAAAGAAACAGAAGCGCGGGGCTCACTTTTCCCTGCGCTCCTCCAGCGGGCTCTCCCGGGGCTTGGCCTTCCCCACGGCGCAGCCAGGACTGGCTTCCCACTGTCCCTCTCCACTTTCAATGTCCTCTCCAGGTTCTTTTGGTTTCTCAGTGGCTGCTTCCTCTCCCTTTTCTGGTTTCTTAAGAAGCTGAGAAATTATAATGTTAGTAAAATGTCACTTTAAGAGTATATTAATAAATAATTTAAACTATATACCAATATTGAGCCCAAATGTCTGAATACAAAGATAAAGGTCCAATGAACAGGTTTTGGGTTAAACACCTAGGGCAACATTCAGTCAATAAAACTTTGTGGTTGTTAAAAATGATGTAGGATAGTTAATGTGGTGCCTCAATGCTGGTACAGTGGGGCCTTGACTTACGAGTTTAATTCGTTCTGAGACTGAGCTCGTTAAGGAGCTCGTTAACTCAAATTACTCTATCAACTCAATGCAAAAAATTGGCCGAGAGACAGCTGGTATCTCAAAAAACTCGTTAGTCGGGACACTCGTAAGTCAAGGCCCCACTGTATTAACGAATAAAGGAATGTCACAAAAGAATGATCTGATTTCTATTTCTATGTTGATACACATGAGTAGGAAAATGTCCAGAAAGCTTGCAACACTGTGTTCATAGTGATTATTTTTAGGTGACAGAACTGAAATGAATTTCTTTCCTTTCACCTACAGGTTCTAGTTTTTTAAAAATAAACAAGTATTGCCCTTGCTGGTGTGGCTCAGTTGGTTGAACATTGTCCTGTGCACTGAGAAGTCACCGGTTAGACTCCCAATCAGGGCAAATGTCTGGGTTGCACACTCAATCCCCATTAGGGGGCATGCGGGAGGCAGCTGATCGATGGTTCTCTCTCACAGATGTTTCTCTCCCTATCCCCTGTTCTCCCTCTCTAAAATCAATACAAAATCTTTTGTAATAAGAAAAAAAACATTTTTTAAAAGGCTGCTCTATATTAATGGCTTTTAGAACAGTTTTAGAGTTTTCAAAACTTATTATTCCCTTTCTTCAAACAGACCTAGAAGGTTGCTATGATGTGTTTAATTTAGTATGCCTTTTATGTGCACCTCCCATCCAGTTAGTTCCCCAGCTCTTTGAAATAAAAGTCAGTTTGTAGAACATAAACGAAAGATCTACTTCTGAAAATTTTGTTCTATTTTTAGGCTATTAATACTAATTCTTTTGGCATTTCTTCACAGACTTTGTTTTTCAGAGTTTTGTTTTTTTAATTTAAATTCTCCAAATCATTCATAAGTCAGAGATGCCCAAATTGAGCAAAGATGCTTGTTAAAGGCTTATTGGGTCAGAGGTGTACTATTAGGTTAGAACACCAGACACTCCTCAGAACAGAAGCTGTGGGCTACTCACGTCATTGGGTCCAACCTGCCACCAAGATTTTGTTCTACCAGATTTGGACTATATAACTTTCTCTTGCTGTGTTTAAGTCTTTCATTTTTTTCTTTATGAAGGATCCTATATTTACTTTACTGACTTAAATTTGTTTTCGTATCTTTGGTTTATTCTGGATTTTAATCCCATCCTCCAAACGGAGTAAGTACATGCTGTACTCCCAATACTTGAAGTCTTGCTTAAAACTATACATAGTTGAGCCCTAGCAGGTTTGGCTCACTGGATAGAGCGTTGGCCTGGGGACTGAAGTGTCCCGGGTTCGATTCCGGTCAAGGGCATGTACCTTGGTTGCAAGCACGTCCCCAGTGGGGGGTGTGCAGGAGGCAGCTGATCGATGCTTCTCTCTCATCGATGTTTCTAACTCTCTATCCCTCTACCTTCCTCTCTGTAAAAAAATCAGTAAAATATATTTTAAAAATAACTATAAAACTATACATAGTTGAAATTACAGGCTACAAGTTTCAGTGATTCTTCCGGAAAACTCTCAGATGTTGACAAAAGTGTTTCTGAGAATGTGAAGCATTAGGCACTGAGGGAGCTACAACTCTTTGTTCAGAAAGTAAAATGAAAAGGTTAGTGTTCGCACACCTATGACCATTAAACCACCCTCTTAAATGAATGCCTCAGGCAAAGGAAAAATTGGGCAAGAGATGCAGAAACCATTTCTGTGAGAAACCCAGTTCTACGAGTCAGCCTTCATAAGGCAGGGCTAGTATACATTGAGCCAATGGTTTTCAAATGTGTGTTTTTTAGTCAGGAAATATTTTCATTAAAATAAAATGTAAGCAGGAGCCCAATCTATGGTACTTAAATGCAGGGCTCCTCTGAGTGGAGTGCTCTGTTCACACTCAGGAGGCTGGTCCTCCTCCACCCTCCCACCCACTCAGTCCTTCCAAACACAGCATGCCCAAGGAACCCCAAGGGCTCAGGGAACACAGTTTGAGAACTACTATTAAAGAATGGAGAAAAGGAACTATAGTAAAAAAAAGACTAGACAAATTAAAAATGTTCCTTTATTTCCAGTGAGCTAAAATACTTAAAAGGCACAATTAGGACAGCAGAACTATTTTTGGAAAAAAGATATGAAAGGTCTCCAAATTACCTTAATCCTTACTTCTTTCTCAGCAGCTTTCTTTTGCTTATCTGTTTCTTTTCTCTTACATTTTTCTTCTTCTCTTTTCTTTCTTTTTTCTTCTTCACGTATGCGTTTCTTTTCCAACTCCCTTCGCCGTCGCTCTTCTCGCTTCTCTTCTCGAATCCTCTAAAGAGGTGGAAAAGTCTGTGCATAAATTGTCTGCGTGGATGTGGTAGAAACATAAAGCATATGCACAAAAGGCCAGACATACCTGCTTTTCTAATTTTCTGTTTTTAATGTATTCCAAAAGAGGTGTGGTTCTTCTAGCTAAAACAAAAAAATTGTAATAAAGTATTTAACTAAAAAAATAAGATCTCTTTCCTTTGTTTTAAATACTTGTTTTCAATGTAATCTTTAAAATCTTTAAAAAATAAGGAAACTTAATTAGAAAAAGGTGTCTCATGTCTACTCTTGAGTTTCTGGAAACTGCTACTAGGAGATAACCACTTATTTCTAAGACACACCACTTGCAGGTGTAGGGCTGAAGGCCTGATTCAAACTGGATTCTGGATTCTGAACGGGTTTATCCACTTGTTTGCTTGGCTTGCTCAGGAGGCCTGATATGTTTTTGAACAACAGCAAGATGATCTCATATTTAAGCCACGCATTTCATTTCAGTGGTTGGTCTTTGAAAAGATACTGACTCCAACCTTGAGATATAACGCTCCTTCCCGAATACAGCCAGGCACAGAGCACTCAAATGTCTTTTCTACTGTTCAAACGTTACAACTCTGAAACAAGATGAGTATAATGTAACTGAAAGCTCAAGCTATCCCATCCACAGATACTCGGAATATTTTCCCAAGCTGCTGTCTTGCAATGCTTTTGTCAAAAGTAGGAAATATTCTACATTTCTGCCAAACCTGTCAAAGGTGTCAATTTTTTATGAAAGTCATAAAAAAGAAGAAATGTGTATATACTCTATAAATACATATCTTAATACAGTAAAGAGGTGAAATGAGCAAAACAGACCAATAAGTTCTCTTGTCTTTGCCTCTATGTCTCCCAGAAGAGTTTCGGGATTGGCACTAGTTTTTTCTTCCTCCACACAGTAAGTTTCTAAAAACTTCTTATATTCTGGATCTGTACATTTAAAGAGAAAAGATAAATAAATACACTCCTCCCCATATAAAGGAGATAAACTGCATTTGATAATTGTATTTAATTTTGTAGGTTCATAATCCAGCCTTTGAGAAAGGACTCACCATCATCAATGCTTCCGGTTTTGGCATCTTTTTTCTTCAGCTTCTTTTTGGCTATCTTCTGGAATGGAGCGAACTCTACCACTGCAGGGTATTCTAGCCCTTTAACAACAACAACAACAAAAATTCCAAAAATCATTCTGAAATTCTACTATATTCATTTTGTAGAATGATCTAGCTTTCTTAAGGATTGAACATAACAATGAAAATGTTAGTGGTTAAACTATAGTTTAATTATACTTTTAAGCAAGTGCAACCTTAGCATGTCAGACTCCACATTTAAGTAAAGGAGAACAACTGTTTATTAAATAAAACGATTCCTCACATTGTAGTGGTCATTACATGACTGAATACATTTAAAATTCATCACACTATATACTTTAAAATGACGAATTCTGCCATATGTTACTTATACCTCACTAAGCCTACCTCTCCTCACTAAAGAGTGTAATATCTTTAAATCAGTTTCTTAGTCACATTTAAATCGTTTTAATTTTAAAAGGCTAATTCAATTATTAACCTGCCATATGAATTCAAGAAAATTATTTTGCTTTTGAATAGACACGTGGCTAAAAGAGGGGCCTTCAAAGTGTATACATAATATTCAAGTAAGATTTGCTTCAAATAAAAAAGTTCAGATTGAAAGTCACTACAAATTCATTCTGTTGTGATATGGGCAGAGGGGCATGCACATAGAAATGATCACTGGGAGAACCTGCTATGTGCTTCATAAAAATAGCACATTCTGCCTCCATACTGAACCCACTGAGTAATCACTCTGGACTTGTCAGGAATGACCAGGTGACTATGATACTGTAATTCTCTCATTTGTCTCGAAGACACACACTACAACATTAGTGAACCACGAAAAAATTATGCTAACTGTAACAAACCAGTCAGAAAAAGACAAATACTGTATGATTTCACTTCTATGAGGTATCTAGAGTATCTAAATTCATAGAAACAGAAATTAGAAGGGTTGTTGTCAGGGCTGGGGGTGGGGGGAGAAATGGGGAAAGTTGATATTTAATGAGTACAGAGTTTTAGCTTTGTAAGCTAAAAAGAGTTCTGGAGATTGGTTGCACAACAATATGAATATACTTAACACTACTGACCTACACACTTAAAAAAATAAGATGGTAAATTTATGTTATGTGTATTTTACCACAATTTTTAAAAAAGAAAGATAAAAGGCACTTGAATGAATTACCAAATAAATGAGCATTCAACAGAAATGTCAAACAGTTCAAGCACTAAACTTGCTTTTACTCACAGCAAAAATGTCTGGGTTTCAATCTAGTCACTCTTTAACCACCGCCCCCCCTCTGGCCCCCCACATGGAAGGGAAGAAAACTCTTGTCAGTAGTTGGGGGTGGGGTGAAATGGAAAGAGATTGGTTGGTGATGGGTGTATAGAAAACAACATGCTCTTAAAAGTGTACACACATGATAGCAGTGAACACAATGGCTGACAGTCTGACAGGAAAGGAGGAAATAGAAAAAAATGTCATAAGTAGAATCTAAAAAGTACAGAGAATTGGAACCATTTAACGTAGAGGTAAATTACATTGTCTCAGCAGACAGCCCTGTTAAACAGGGTCAAAAACTGATGCTCACTATTACAATCCTTTCCCTCATGGCTTCATCCAGAAATGGCATAATTATGAAGAATATTCTGTTTAGGAAGATGCTGATATAAATAAATAATATAGTTTAGAAAATTTTATCAAACATGGGTAAAATAATTTAGTTTGGAGACATAAAAAGCAAAGTTCACTTATCCAGAAAGCGCATTTATTTGGAAAAACTTCGATCTCCAATGATAATACATAAATAGGTTATCACTATTACACAACTGTTAGAATCCTTTCCATTTATATATCATTTTAATTTTTAACAAGCATACAATCACAATAACATGATGCATATTTCTGCTTTACTTTAGATTAGTATCTGATAGCTTTTTTATTAACACTCACAAATATTCCAGCATAATGTAATTAATGTACTTAAAGATTGTAACAAAGGGTTTAAAAAGCCAATGACCCAACCTTTGTTGTCAATGAAGATATAGCCATCAAACCGATCTCTGAAAAGAAGAATGTCATCAGGATTTCTAAAATTAATGTATGCTCTTGAGTAGAGATGAGGATAAAGACTGAAATGAGAAATAACAGTGAAAATGGTTAGTAAAAAAAATAGGACTTCTTTAATTTTGCCTTTGTTTTCCTTGTCTGAATACAACAAAACTACTTCAGATAAAACTTCTTTGTCAAAAGATTCATCTCTCGCCCTAGCCGGTTTGGCTCAGTGGATAGAGCGTTGGCCTGCAGACTCAAGGGTCCCAGGTTCGATTCCGGTCAAGGGCATGTACCTTGGTTGCGGGCACATCTCCAGTAGGAGGTGTGCAGGAGGCAGCTGATTGATGTTTCTCTCTCATCAATGTTTCTAACTCTCTGTCCCTCTCCCTTCCTCTCTGTAAAAAATCAATAAAATATATTTTTTAAAAAAAAAGATTCATCTCTCAGTAAATGACAACAATCTGGATATTCTTTAGCAAAAAACAACAACACACAAACAAACAAAACATTAACTGATATCTTTTTAATGACTTGGGAAAGACTCTAGGTTAGTTTCTCTGCTGCATGGAGCCAGGGCTAAAATACTGGTTCTCAGGGGTTGAGAAGCAAAGTCACGCCTCATCCTGCATCGTGGCTGCAATACAATCTATGTAGCTATAATTCCTTCACAGAATAAAATGTTATATTGTGAAAAAGATGGTTTACTGATTTAGAGATCATTTTTAGGTGTTAGAGTATTTACTGTAGCACAGTGAACAGGGGCTACAGAACTAAGCCTTTCTCTGCTATCTCACAACCACCAATTTCCTTCAGGGCAGATACTCTAACCTGATGTCACAGATGAGTACACTGAGGCCCAGAGAAATGAGGTACTTTCAGAGGGAGCCATTAGTTAAACGGTGGGCCTGGGATTCCAATCTGAGCCGGTCGGGGTCTAGTGTCAGCCCTCCTTTAACTGTACGTTTTCCTAAATTTTAGTCATTTGAATATCATCTTTATGTTTTTTTAAACCATGTATATATTTACCTATTAGAGGTTATTTTTTGTTGAATAGACTGACATTATTTATTTTAATGTATTTATTCAAAAGGAAAGTTTTATGGCTACCATAAATAAGAACTCATGATATTGAAGATAAAAAAGATAACAAAGATAATAATAAAAACATAGTGAAAATCACTAAATCACAGCTGAACTGTCACCTGTTGAAGGTCTAACCTGAGCTCAGCACTCTCTTTGTTAACAAAAGCGAGATTTGAAAATAAAAAGTGTTGTCAGAGTCATCCATCTCCCAAGTTGTAAAAGGGAATTGAAAAAGATATAAACTGAGAGGAGTGGAGTTTGGGTGCTAATGAAGGAAGGGAGCAGAGTGGGACTTCTGGGGTCTGGGACTTCTGTTTCTTTATCTGGTGTTAGTTACATGGGCATGTTCTCTTGTGAAAATTCATCAGGTTATACATCTGTATATTCAATTTACTTTGTTATATCTTAATACATTTTACTTTAAAAAACTACATGAAATATGGTTTGTTGATATTCAAAAACAAAAATTAAGTAATATGTTGTTACTTGGTCTGGTTTTGTTTATTTCTTAGACTGGTGGTGCCAGTAGAGGCATATTTCAAATCTATTTTAGAGGCCTTTAATGTTCTGCCTACTTAAAATAACTTGCAGAAATAAAGGACTGCTCTGATTTCTGGGAACATGTGGGAAATGGAGATGTCTTCTATTATCTACAACTAGAGGCCCAGTGCATGAATTTGTGCACGAAGGGTTTGGGGGGGGGGGGTCCCTCAGCCCTGGCCTGCGCCCTCTTGCAATCCAGGACCCTTTTGGGGATGTCCGGATGCCAGTTTAGGCCCGATCCCCGCCTGGCCTGTGGGATTGGCCTAAACCGGCAGTCGGACATCCCCCGAGGGATGTAGCAGTGTGCCACTGCTCGGTAGCACTGGTGGAGTCAGGAGAGGCTCCTGCCACTGCAGCAGCTGCGATGGCCAGCCATGAGCCCCGCTTCTGGCTGAGTGGCACTCCCCTTGTGGGAGCGCACTGACCACCAGGAGGCAGCTCCTGCATTGAGTGTCTGCCCCCTGGTGGTCAGTGTGCGTCATAGCGGCTGGTCGACCAGTTGTTCAGTCATTAGACTTTTATATATATAGATAATTTGCCAGAAAGAGACAATGCCTCTAAGATTCTTGATGTTGGTAAACAGCTTCTCACCTGAGGTCCCCAGTAAAGAATTCAAAGTAATCATGTGCAGGCAGTGGGTGTAGTTGCTCTTCCAGCTGCTCCTTGGTGAGGCTGGGTGGAAGGCGCCGGATGACTACCTGGGGAAAGGAAGCTGGTTGGGTTTTGTTTCACTCTTACTGTATTAAGCTTTAATTATTTCAATGCTTGGCGACCTGTATTCATGCTCAGAGGAAAATCTAATTCAGGAGTCTAGCAAAAACACATATTTTAGGAAAGGTTAAGAAAAACATACATGAGAACTTGGCTGTCATAGGGTAATGAAGTGAATAATTGAAAAAGGATCCCTGAGGTCAGAAAAGGCTGTGCATAACAGTTCTTTTTCATATAATCATTTCATTACCACTGGACAACCCATTGGTATGTCTGTGCCCGAGATGAAAAATAATAGCTTCTCCTATACCCTCTCTGCAGGGTTAAGCCACACTAGAAGGTAAGACCCATGCAGGGAATGTATCCATGCTGGAATGTTTGTTAGCAGCGGTAACAAATCAACGGTGCATCTGTTCTTACTGCCAAGAGGAATGCCACTTGCATTGGACACCTTTCGCCTCCAGTCCAGAGCGTCCACACTGCGGGTCCTCTCCCACCGCCCACCAGGCTTTCCAGCCTCTCTTCCCAGCTTCCCAGGGCCTGACAGGACCTTCCCCGAGCCGCACCCCTCCTTTCGTGCCCCTTCTGGCCCAGGTCCTCGACAGTGTGGAGCTGCTGAGCCCAGCGTCTCAGCCCCAATGGGACACGTCCACCTCCAGAGACTGAAAATACGTTTCTTTCTCCCCAAACCAGAAAAGTGCTCCGAAAACTCTGGCTGTAGGAGGGGCTCAGGACGCGCTGCCCGGCCGCTGTCCGCGGTGCTGATACTCTAGCAGCTTCGCCCCCGACCCTGTGCCCCCGCCCAGTTCCTCTGCCCCACCCACCCTC